AAAGGTACAAGACCCCAATGATGAATGTAACTGTATACCTAAAAAGTACCAATAAACTCAATGAGGAAAAAAAACCCAAAACAAAACAAAAAAACACCAAAGATAGCACTCAGGTGGGGACTGCACCCTGCTCGGGGTCCCCTTGCTTAGGTGCACCCCCTCAGCACACAGCATGTGTCTAAGGAGCAGAGAGACAAAGGGGACCATGTGGTTTGTGAGGATGTTCCTGCAGCAAAACAAGCACTGACGAGTTGTAATTCTAGTGTTTCCAATGACTAATGTTTCTGTAGAACAGTGATGGGGAGTTCTGAGGCTACTGGGAGACTATATCTATGGATCAGTGGGTCTGCCCATGAGCTCCAACCGAAGTTAATGTCCTGTGGGATCCACAACCACCCTTAACCACTTCTATGCAACTTGGGAGCCTCTGCTGACCTGTTGTACTTCTTAGGAATGTGAGCAGGTCACTTCCTCACTATGGCTCCGTGTGTCCTACAGCCAACCTCATGTCACGTAAGATAGGTGAAAACAATGACAGAGGAGAGGAGGCCTTGACAGCTGGGGGCTGATGGGTCGGGATCAGCTCTTACTCTGTCATTGGGACTTTTTGGGGACTTTGGGAGTTTTCAGTTGGCTGCAGCAGGGCTGGGCAGAAGCTTAGTTTCTAGGCACAGAGCCCCTCTCATCTTGCCTGGGAGGCGTCTTGCCCAAAGGGAGGGCAGGGGAGATGGCCATGACTTCTGTATTTGGTGGACAAACTGCAGCATCACCCAGTGCTCTCACCCGGGTTCTCTCTCCCACTCACCATCCTCAGACTCTTTGCCTTTTGATTTTCCCATCATGGCATTGAGCTGGTGATTTTGGCAGCTGAGATTCTCCCTCATTTATCTGTGTTATATTTTGCCTCTAAATACAGACCTGATTTTAGATTATCACTTAGCATTAGTTGTACCAAAGTCCTGCACAACTTTATTGACTCATATTACAGGATTTACTATCAACTGACAGAAAAATCAAGGTCTTGTCACTACTTGGACTTTCTGTTCAAGCTATTTTGAGCTTCTTGTCCTTATCTGGAATATGACTGCTTTACACTTCCATTCAGGCAAAGCAGGATATGTTTAAGGTTTATCATTCACATGCCCCACAGCAATGCCATCTTTCATTTTTGTTCTGAGAATATGCTCTATAAGAACATCTTTTGGAAGAGAGGTGTTGTGATCTAACCCTGCTTAGGGCTGTACCTATTCTTCACTTGGTTCTGTTAGTTTTTGCTCTATGCACTTTCGAGCTCCATTTTTAGGCACACACACATTCATATATATATTGTGATTGTACTGATCTTATAAAGTATATTTCTTAATCTCAGGTAGATTCCTGATCATGAAGTCTATTTTGTTTTATACTAACACAGCACTTTAGATTTAATGTAATTGATGTTTGCATGATATATGTTCCATTCTGTTGCTGTCAATCCATTTATGCCTTTTGTTTAAAGAAAGTTTTGTAAACTGAATATACTTGGGTCTTGTTTCTTTTTTTTTTTTTCCTCAGTCTGCTTATCTTTGTCTTTAGTTAAAACTTTTGGTCCATTTACACTTAATGAAATTATTGCTATGCCTGGATTTAGCTCTGTAATTTTGCTATTTGTTTTCTGTTTTTTCTCCCTCTATCTCCCTTGACCCATTCCTTCTTTCTTGATTTTTTATAGTCAATTGAATATTGCCTACTATTCCAAATTAATTATCAATTGGCTTTTTTACTCTACCCTTTTTGATTCTGTTTTGACAGGTTTCTCTAAGGAAGTGGTTCTCACACTTTATATGAATCAGAACCATCTGGAGAGCTTGTTAAAACACAAATTGTTGGAGCCCCTCCAAGGATGTCCAATTAAGGAATCCCTAAAATGTGGTGGGTGGGGCCCTAAAAGAGATTTCTAACAAATGCTATGCAAGGCTGATTCTACTGCTCAGAGGACCAGCCTTTGAGAACTACTGTTCTGAAAATTTAAATCTGCATCTTTAATGTTTTACAACTTAGTAATGTTGTACTACCTCACACTAAAAGATAAAATTCAGAAAACTTGCAACATATGATTTTATTTACCTATTACTGATCTATTTTGTTGTTATTGTCACATATTTTATATCTACATCTTTTAGAAAATCCACAATATGCTGTTTTACTTTTTGTACTACTCATATGCTTTTTAATGAAATTAAGAAAAGAGGAGAAAATACATTTCTCTTTTCATATTCACTATTTCTTATGATATTATTCTTTCTGGAATTTGAATTTGTCATCTGGTGTTGCTTCTCTTTAGACCAAAGAAATCCTCATAACATTTCTTGAAAAGCATGTCTACAATATATTATCTGGTTTTGCTTACCTTAAAATACCTTCATGCTGCCTTCATTTCTTCAAGAATACAGAGTTCTGAGTTGCTAGATTTTTCTTTTATTTGTGTCCATATCTCAGAAATCTCCATTTTTAGCAACCTGTTCGCACGCAGAGTGTCTGTCAGTTGCAGTTAGAAACTACTGAGGGTGTTCCATGGATGTGGTCTATGTAATGAGGAGACCACTGGCAGCCTTTATGGTGGTGGTTTCAGTACAGTGCTAGGGTTTGGAGTTTGAGGGGTGTGGTGGTCAGCTTTCTGTTACTGTGACAAAATACCTGAGATAATCAGCTTATAAGAAAGAAAGGTTTATTTTGACTCCCACTTTCAGAGGTTCTAGTCTGTGGTTGCTTGACCCTACTTCTATAGGCCCACAGCAGCACAGTAGATCACGGTGGAAAGCACTAGCAAAAGAGGTCTGTTCATCTCATGGCAGCCAGAAAGCAAAGAGAAAGAAGAGGGGCTGGAGTGCTAATATCCCCTTCAAGGTGCCTCGAAAGGCACCCATGGCCTAGCTCCCTTCCATGCAGCCCCACATGCTGAGGACACCACAGGCTGGAGACCAGGCCTTCAGCATACAAGCCTTTGGGGGCAAATGAGGAGATGAGAGAGGGAGTGTAGACCATGCCCCCTTTCTGTCAAGTTGCTTCTCTCTGATGACTTCTTTCCTCTTAAGTCAGAGGTGCAGTCTTGGCATAAAGGTGAGTGATAGTTGGTCTGAAGGTTGTGGGTTATTGTTAAACTGATTAACATAAAGGTAGCCTTGATTTCACAGACCTCTTCCAACTGTACATTTCTTCTGTTTCTGTAGCTTTTGACTCTGACCATCTCCTCCATCCATTCTGTTCTCAAATACTGGCCTGAAATGGCCTGAATCTGGGCATTGTGATCTCCTTGCTGGTTTTGGTGACATTTGGGCTGAGTCAGCACTGGCCCACTGGATGTGGACAAGGGCTCACTGTCATGGCTGCAAGTTGAGTAGCTGATGCTCAGTTAGGGAGGTGGTGTGTGTCCCTAGGACTTGTTTTGTTAAGCAGATGGAGGTGTCTTTGGAGCATCTTTCTGCTCTCTCACATCTCTAGGGAAATATCACACCTTGAAAGGAAGAATCATATTGAGAGGAATGGGGTGGGGTGGAAGAGCAAGGTGACAGCCCACGGTTATAATATGATGCAGAGAAAAAATGCAAATGGGAGATGTAAATGAAATAGATTTCCAGGGAGAGCCCAGTCATGCACAACACAACCATGCTTCATCCCTGATGGCAGTGCTGGCTCCATAAGATTATGCCCATAGCTTAGCAACATCACAGCTGCGCTGACATTACAGCCTGGTACAGCACTTGCATATCTGTGGTGACACAAATGTGAACAAACCTACTGCACTACTGGCCATATAAAAGTACAGCACATTCTTACGTACAGTTCATAGGGCTTCATAATGATAACAAATTACTATGGTGCTGAATCATGCATTTACCATACTATATTTTGTAATTATTATTTTAAAAAATTTTAGAGTGTGCTTTTTCTGTTTATCAAACAGTATGCCCTGTTACATCCCATGTTTGTGTCTCTGGGTGGCATCAAGAGGTCACATGAGTGACTGACCTAGATCATAGTAAGTCTGGGTAAGTATACTCTGTGATGCTTGAATAACAATGGAAGTGGCTCAGGACACTTCTCAGAAGGTATCCTTGACCGTGAGTGACACATGACCATGTGTGTAAAACACTATCTCCAAGCAGTCTTAGTGACAGAATACAATGGGAAGACAAGAAGGGTGAACAGCTAACACAATCAGACTAAAGGGCTATTTTCTAGATGGGGAGAATAGTCTGACTGGGCTCCCCAAAACTTAACAGCTCAACCAGGTGCTTTCCTCACACCTCCTTGGTTTTACTTTAGTTTCTTCTTTTGCATTTGATGATCAATTTAGAACAAATGACTGTATTGTGCCTTCAAGCTCTTTAAGGTCAGAAGAATTTGCTTATTCTTGGGCAAGTCTCCTATGACTTAAGTGTGATTCAGGTCTTCAAGCTTTCTGGGCTGGGAAGATCCGGTTGTACTGGAGTAGCTTCTTGTGTAACTATAAATTACAGTACTTAGAAATAAAGATCTATGGTACTTGCTGATGGGGAGACAATCTGCCACCAGCACTGGACACAAGGGTTAGGAGTACACTTTGAAGATTTGACACAATTTCCACCCTGAAAAACATTATATTTAAACTTGGAAAATCACAAGTACCAGAACAATGAACACAAATGCCAACAACAATATTTAGATGAATCATAATGCCATTGTGCAGCAGGGGGCTATGGAGTGGGCAGTAGGGCTTCATGAAGGAGAAGAAATGTAAAATGAAGCACAGTGGGATGCAGTAGGGTGAGAGAAGGCGTTCATGTGGGATAGTGGGAAGAGCACCAGGATACTGAAAACATGTCTGGGTGCCACTGTGCAGAAGTCCCCGTGGACTATCCCCGTTCTACGAGTTTAGTTCCATTACTCCCGTGTACCCCTCATAAAAATCAGGTTATCTTTGGCACCTTTCTTGTTGGTCCATCTCTTTCTGATGATATTATTTTACTTTATCCTCACAGCTGAGTCCCCTGAAAGTGAGAGGGACATCAATTCACCTGTCATTTCCACCCTTCATGACTATCTCCACAGAACTGGGGTGAGTTGTGGTGTGGTCACCAGATCCTGGTTTTCCTGGGTACAGTTGTTGCTTGGTATCTGTGGAGAATGTGTTCCAGGGCCAGCTTTGGGAACTGAAATCTGTGGGTGCTAGGGGCATAATATAAAAATGGCATAATATTTGCACAGAACCCACACACATCTTTTCATAACCTTTGAATCATCTCTAATGACATAATACCTAATAAAATGTAAATGATATGTAAATAGCTGTTATGCTATATTGATCAGGGAATAATGACAAGAAGAAATATCTGTGTATGTTCAGTGCAGACACATCTTTTCGTGAGTATTTTCCATCTGTGGATGTAGCATGTTGACTGAATACCACTACCACATGTGGATAATGAGTATGTGAACTGTATCTAGCACTGTGAATTAACTGAACTTTATGTTGAGCAACTGTTTCAAGAGGTGCCAATAAGATTGAAGTATAATAGGCATAAGAGAAAGAGAAATTTTAAAAGTAAAAATCTTTTGCAAATGAGTTGCATTTTTTAAGAGTCAAATGTTTGTGTAGCTCAGGACAGGGATTGGGAAAAGTGAGTCATACTAGCAGAGCTAAGAAATTCTGGTGCCTGGGGGCTATCACATACTAGTCCTCTTCTGAGGACCGGGATTTATCTCAGTGGCACCATAGCTGCCTTGCAAGCACAAGGTCCTGAGTTTGATTCTCGGTATAAAACAAAACAAAACACCCCCCAAAATCCCAAAAACCTCTGTTCCCTCTTTCTGCTCATAGGACAAGAGAAATTCATCAACCCACATACACTTAAAGGAGTACTGAACAGGGCCGTATAAATGCCAACAATATAGTGTTCTAGAACTTTTCTTTTGGGCCATGGTTTAAGTTATCTGTTGTTTTGTAACCAATAATCCTAAAACTTATTATTTAGAATAAGCCAGTGACTTTTTATTTCTCCTGACTCTAGGCTGCCTGGGGTCAGTGGGACAGCCCTGGTGCTGTCCTGTGGGGTCCTATGCAGCTGTGTTCAGCGGGAAGCTGGGTGGCCTGGAACGCCTGGGACGTCTCTCTTCCAGCAGGGTCCTGTCTAGTGGTCTCCCAACACTGAATTCAGCCTGAGTTTCTCATGTGGCAGCTGGATCTCGAGCTGTAGGCCTGGAGCTATCACAGTGACACTTCTGCTACACCCTATTGACCCCAGAAAGTTGCAAGGATGGCCTACATTCAAGCAGCAGAGCCAAGCTCCACCTGTGTTGCTGTCCTCGGTCCATCATGATTATTTACTTTCAGAGCATATGTTACTGCCTGTTTATATTATATAAAGTATGTTTCACAATAACCTGTGATCTGTAGAGCCATTAATTATAACTGTTCTACCACATCTCAGAGCAGGAAAGTTGTACTGGTTCCTCCTCTTACCACTGGTACATGGGACACTATCAAAGGGACTTATATACCTTTGAGGTGTCCCCCTGAGACCACACTCATAACTCACACATACTTGAGAGTCATGGATGGGCCAGGTTAGAAGATAATTGGCATGATCCCATTATATATGTAGCCAAAGGCAGTGTTTACCCAGCTCAGCCAATTGCTTGACTTTTTTTTTGTTTTAACCAAGCCTGGTGCAGGATGACATTCAGCTATTTCTAAGGCTCAAACCCACATGGAGTCAGGGATCCAACACTCACGTCTCCCCTCATAAATACCACCTGCCTGAGGCTTTGTACAGGAAGTTTTCCGGGTGGTTGGAGGTCAGGGTGACCTAGGACAGGAGGCAGGCGGACATCTCTGCATCATTTCCTGTGTCACATGGTAAACTCTGTTACTACTTACCGTATTATTGGTTTACAATTCTATTTTCTTTTCAAACTCTGCCTCAGAAAAATTCTAGGAACGAGGGAAGCTTTGAAATTAAAACCTCTTATCTTTTAAAATTTTTTTTCCTAAACAAATCTCTCCAGTTTTTCTTTCATTTCCCTGGACTCTGGGTGCCTGGTTCTCCTAACTTGCCCTCTGTCACCTCCTCACCAGAAGCAAATCTTTTCGCATGTATGATCCTTCCTTTTCTGTTGCTTCCACAGGTTACAATGTTGCTTTCACTTGGTGGAACTCTCATTATTTTCCTTCTTTTATTCCAAACAAAGAGTGTTGCAGTCATCCTTGTGACAATGGTTCTTTCATGTGACTGATTTCAGCCTCTCGCTTTCATAAAATCAGTTATTTTTATTTATTTATTTTTTGGCGGTACCAGGAATAGAACTCAGGACCTTGAGCTTGCAAGCCAGGTGCAGTGCCACTGAGCTAAAACCCTGGCCCCATAAAATCAGTTATTTTAAAACATGGTTTTGCAGTCCTGAAATATTCTATGCCTTGTAACAACATACAATTTATCACATGATTATACAGATTGTCATTTGTTACATACCATTTAGAATTTTTTAACAAATATGTCAACAATCATTCACTTACCCAACTCTAATTTATCAGGGGGTTGTGGTGGTCTCTGCTGTAGACGCAGCCCCAGACATTTTGTATTCTGAACTGAGCCTTGTGGTTTCCTGACAATAGTGAAGACATGGTTGACAATGGCGGTTCATCTCGCCTTAAGGAAGTATTCCAAATCACAGCAAGGAGCAACTCAACAGTAGGCAATGACCTGTGATGTTGAGGAATGGCAGGGAATGCCAGTGGGGGGTGGGAGGTGCAGGGCCAGAAGGTTTAAAATTCAGAGGCTGCTGTGTCTTGGAAATGTTCCCCACAGCCCACATGTTAAAGGCTAACTGTGGCACTTTAAGAGGTGGGGCCTCAGGAAGAAAGTTAGGTCACTGGTGGCACATCCTTGAAGCAGGGACTGTGCCACTGACCCCTCCCTATTCTCTCTTTGCCTTTCAGCTGCCCTGAGGTGAAAAGCCTTCCTTCACTCTGTGCCCCATGCTGAGATGCTCTGCTTCACCACAGGCCCTAAAGCAACACAGCAACCTACCATGGGATGAAGACCTCTGATACTATGAGCCAAAGTAAATCCTATTTCCTCATAAGTTGATTTGCCACCAAAAACAAAAAACAAAGCAAAACAAAAAACTAACACAATACTACAGTTAGATGATGCTGTTTTAAATGAACACAGTAAACATTTTATCAGGACCTCTACTTCAAGACTTTTTCTTTTCTAATTGAACAAGTCAATACGTGATGACAGCAGGTAAACAGGATTAAGGAGAAAAATCAGACCCATAAAAAGATTGAAGTCCTTGGTCCATCTTGGAACTTGTCATGCCATGGAAGCTGATGACCTTTCTCAAGCCTTCACTTGATCCATCCAACAGAAGATCATCCCTCCTTCCAACTCCTAGGACGCTTTGCATTTATTCAGAAATCATTTGTCTTCATCTGCTTGTTCTGTAGTTTGGTATTTTATGTATCCTTGATCTGATGATAAGTTCTTGTGGCACAAGTATTTTTCTCTCTATTCCCTTGATGCCTATAACCATGTCCAACTGGTTGTTGTTTGAGTTTGGATTTCATTGGTTTTCAGGAAATGCACTACGTATAACCTGTGTTATACCAACTAAAATGGTTCATGAATAAGATCCATCTGGGACCACTGTTAATAGCCATATGTTTTTGGGTGGGCTTCAGTGTTTTATTCAATTCTATTTGAGTATGGAATATTATCCTAGAAAAATGAATATCGCTACTATCTTTCTAGTGATCCTAGCAAAGTGGTTTATCCCAACTTTATAATGCACAGGAATCTACCTAGCTTTTCCAAAGCCACGTGATATACAAAGACCATACAAAGAGAAAAGAGGGAAAATGGACAGGCCAGTTTAGACTGCTTCCCAGTGATTGATATCACAAACATTCCTTCCTCCGGAGTTTCTTTAAGTGCTTCTCCATCATGACAATAGCATGAGTCCTTCACTACGTCCCCAGGGCAACAGCGTGGCCAGATGGTATCAGCACTAATAAGACACCTTTAGTGTCACCATAAATGATGTCTAAGGGTCTTTCAGATTCCAACTTCTATTTCCTAGTTCTGCCTCACTTAAGATCAAATATCGCTGATTACATTGGTGTACACAATTTGTACACTATAGGTTTTAATTGTATTTCACACTATTCAACTAACTGGGTATTAACAGAAATATTAAGTGTTTCTAATTTTTATCAAAATAACAAATATATGCAGTTTAAAAGTTCAAGAAGAACAGGTGTGTGAGGAAATATTTCAGTTCTCTGCCCATTCTCTCTACTCATTCCAGCATATAGCCCCGGGTGTAGCAATGAGTTTCCTTTTTTTTTAGCTCCTCTCATAGTTACCTCTATTTTCCCAGATAATGCTCTTTTTATGCTCTTTACTGACTTGTGGATTTTAGACCTGTTAACTTTATGTATTATGGTAGTTGAAAGTTTAACTCTCATGATGCACATTCCTCCTACCCAACTCACATATCCCTCCGGTGTCCTCAGAACATAGTCTTGCCTCATAGTTTTGTTGAATACCTGTGGTTATTTACTATATACATATATAGTCACCTCTGGACCCAGTGGTGGCATGTTTGCACGTTCCCTCACAACTTTCCCCCATGGAGTAAAGCATGACTGTGTTGTCTTTGTGATTAGCTTTCTGTATGTCTGTTGTTCGGTTTCTTCCTACTTCTCCAAAAATCTGTCAGTTGCCTAGAAATAATTTTTCCAAATCTGCTGGCATACATCCAAGCACTTCCCATGTCCCACCTGCTGCTGAGCAGTCAGTCTCCCTTCTTTTCATGCTGTAGGCGGCCAGGTCTTCTCTGGCTGCTGCCTAGTGGACATCTGGCCTCTTTTTACCTCTCTCTGTGCTTCCACTCTCTGGGCACCAAGTCCTCTTCTCTCTGGATATACACCTGTATCCTGCTGAAGCACATCTAGTAGATTCCTAAAAAGGGGACATGGAGGTAAAATTTGTGTCCATGTACAAAAATGCCTTCATGGTCCTCGAATGTGATCTGTCTTCCTGTCCTTTCCTATCTTCAGTGTTCTTATGAATTTACAGCTTTTTTTTCCTCACTGACATTTCATTAGGCATTTAAGATGGGACTGGTGATAAACACACATAAGTAGGCTTGTATTAGCCAGAAGCCTCAACTTGTAAGCATGTAATGATCCTATTTTTCTGTGCACTTGGGCTAGGCTCAAGGGGCTTGTGGAGAGGGGTGGTACTACTATACTACGCAGACCCTGTGCCAGGGAAGGGTGGTGCCAGGGCCTCCGAGAGATGAAGGAATTGGATTCATAAATGGTAAATAACTTTCTCAAGGCCCATGGCTAATGACTGAAGAACTGAGACTCCACACCAAGTCTAAATCAAAGGTTCCTCCCTTCCTGCCCTGCTGATAACTGGAGCACCAGAGGCTGGAGCCACGCTTGCCATACTCAGGGCCACATGGGTGACGTGGCGACTGGCTGTAGGTGTTTGGACAGGTCTTGAGGAAGAGGCTGAGGCTGGGCAGTGCTATTCCAGGCAGAGTGAGTCACAGAGCTGAGGCAGGTGCTGGCAGAGCTGCGGGTGGAAAGTGCTGCAGTGGGCCCCAGAGCCAGGGCAGAGAAGGGCAGAGCCACCACTCGGGTGGGTGCTCGAAGCTCTGTGACCCCCTTGGCCTTGGCAGTTACTTCCCAAATAGCTGGCTTCATGCGTGGAGGAGGTGGAGATGACATTATTGGGAGGACAGCATCACATATGCAAAAAGTACAATTTGTGAACTTTAAAGTACTTATTAGACATAAAGCATTCTTTTTATCAGCCTAGGAGGATCAGTTGTGATTGCAGAAGACATAGAATGCTAGTGTGTGAGATTCTTATTATTTTCCTACGAAAGAGAAAATAATTCTGATGGGGGAATTGAGGGTGGAGTGGGAAGCCAGCAGGGTTTCTGGAGAGTCCTGGGCAGCTGAGTTTGGAGGAGTTTGGAAGCACAGCGCCTCTGAATAGAGTTTGTTTTCAAGAGTGAGTTCAGTGGAAAATTTTAAGCGGCTACTGGGAACAGTGTATATGGCCTTGGAAACCGAAGATGTTCCTTTAAAAGAAAATCACAGTGCTCTTTAAACTCAAATGACAGCTTTGACCACGGTCTTCTTTTCTTTTCTTGCCAACGCTAGAGTTTTCTTGGGATGTTATCAGGGCCAGAATCAGAACAATGCTCACTTTTGTTTTGTTTTTAACCTGAATGACAAATTACCAATCAGCAGATGTAGGCCATGCAAGGAAGTTTCTCTTGACTGCTGGGCTTGTGCAAAAATGCAGGCTTAGTTTGTTGTTCTTTTCCTTTCCTTGTCCCCAGTGAAGGTACTTTTTATGTTCAGGTTTAAAGGATCGCTGAAGGTTGGTTGGCAACTTGACTGCCATGTCAGGGTCCTCCTGACAGTTTCAGTTGCTAATTGTTATTCATTATTCTTAAAAAATTGAACAAACAAAAGCAACTTCTCCAAATAACTTGAAGACAAACTCCAAAAACAGAACATAGCAGAACACAAACAAAACCCTAACTAGGATTAGTTCTGACAAGCAAGATGCTTCTGGTCACTACCAAATTCATTTTGGAACTCTAAGTTTCAATACTATTATAAATAGAGAATTTATCTGATTTTTGTTTTTGTTTTTGTTTTTTGTGGTAGGGGTTGAACTTGAATCCTGGTATTTGCTAGATGAGTCCTATACGTTGAGCCCTATTTGGTTTTGTTGTTGTTATGTTTCTTTTCTTGGAAGAGCAATTCCAATAAAAATGCACTTCCTGGGGTCCCCTTTTCATGAGTTCAGTTGTCAAGGTGTATCAAGTGTGCTGTTTCTGGGGTCTGGGCTGCAGGGTACTGGCCCATGCTTTATGTCACAATATGTGGTTCAGCCACTCCTCTCAACTATTGCGAGACCTTGCCCTAGTTTGCATGACTGTGCTTACAGGTGATTTATAATGGGTGATTTATAATTGTGTTTCCCACTAAAGGGTGGGCTGTTTAGGGACTGGGTCATGTAGTCTTCAACTTTGTATGACAAAACCCAGCAGGGATTGGTGCCCTGTAGACTCCTTGAGTCTATTAAAATACTAAGTACATCAGAGGATCTTGCTCTGAGTGGGAAAAAATGTGCTGCCATCAGCATTCTGGGAAGAATCAACACTCTGGAGAGAAATGGATAAGTCAGCCTGCGTGGGAGACCAGGGGGCTGGTGGCCTCACCTGCTCCCAGTACACTCCTGCTGTGGCACAGCAGTGTGATTGGTCCTGGCTAATTTCTATTCTGCTTAGGTGGTATTCCCATTTGTCTCTTTCCTCAATCAGATTACAACCTCTGGAAGGAAGGGCAAGGGCTATGTTTTAATCATCTTGTTAATCCCACATCTCTTGCCTTGTGTGGTGTGGTCGGTAAACGGCAAGTGAGTGAGGAAGGGAAGGAGGGAGGAAAGCTAGAGGTGGGGTGGATAGAAGATCTGGAGGCCCAAAAGTTTTTCCTTCTGCTTCAGGGCTTGTTCTGGAGTTTCTGGATCTTTAACACTTAGGGTAGGATGTCCAGACCCAGGTGACTGTCAGTGCACAGGACACCTGTGGTTTTGACTCTTGGTCCCATGCGCCCTTGGACAGGAGTTCTAGAGGGACAGTCCTCATGCCATGTGTATAAAATCCAGCTGGAGTCTCAGTGGGTACTCCAGAGTGGAAGATGGTAGGCATTTGTGTTTTACTTTATTGAAATGCAGTTTGTTCCCTTTTTCTAACGTTATGTCTTACGGCTAAAAATTAGTATAAAACAACTAGACAAATCTCTTAGAATGTTTTGCCTTGTTCACTGCAAAAGGGTCACAAAGGGTACAAGAAAACAGGATACTGATACTCATGTGGCTCCCTTGTGAGTTGCAGGGTGAGAGCCCTTTGAAAGGCAGTTTTTATTTAAGGAGCAAGAAATTTTTAGAAGCTGATGGTTCTAATAAAAATGAGATTGTGGGAGGCCTTTGATTCAATCCCTAGCATTGGGCAGGGGTGAGAGGATTTAAACATTTCCACGAAACTTTTAGAGTTAATTGTAATTGTTCTTATCTCCAACATTCAAGAGCAGTAGAGGAGATGTGCCTATAGGTGTTTTGTGTATGTGAAAAT